CTTGTCTCAAAAAAAAAAAAAAGTGGCTTACCGAACGGCCTGGAGCTATTTCCCTCCCACTCTTCCACCTCCTCCTGCTTATCTTTTCACTCCTGCCCTTTGAGATGAATCGAGAAAGCCCTCAATAGAAGCCAAGCACCTTGAACTTGGACTCCCAAGCTGCCAGAGACAAATTATTTAACAAACTAAGGTGAGACAAGGCAGAGTTGGCCCATATTCAATGTGACCAGCATCCTTATGGTAAGAGAAAACCTGGGGACAGGTGTGTAAGTGCATGGATGAGAGCCATGCAAGGGCAGCAGAAAAGGATGCTATGCACAGGCCACAGAGAGAACCTTAGAATGAAGCAGCCCTGTCAATGCCCTAATCTTGGACATTCAGCTCCGGAACTGAAAAGAGATGTATTTCTGTTGTTCTAGCTACCCAATGTGCCGTACTTTGCTATGGCAGCTATGCTGGTTCATTTCCACTGTCTGTTTGAGTGGGTTTGGAATCACCTGGGAGACACACCTCTGGGAGTATCTCTGAGATAGATAGAATTAACTGAAGAGGAACTCGAGTAGCACCACCCACTTGGCTGGGGTCCTAGGCTGGATAAAAAGAGGTCAGCATACCTTGCTCTCTCCTTAGATGTGGAAGAGTTGCAGCTGCACACTCTTGCTGCCTTGGACTCCACCCATTCCCTCTTTGGGTTGATGGACTTACTTTTTTAACTGAGCCCAAATAAATCTTTTCCCCCTTCAGTTGCTTTGAAGAGGTCTTGTAGATAGAAACAAGGCTATTGCAGGTGCCTCAGGTGAAGCCTTAGATAGAAATGAGAATCATGGTATCAGCCAGTAGGGGCAAGACAAGTCTTGTTATAAGGTAGGTGGTCAAGAGCTTGGCTGAATTGTGTCTTAGGAGCTTGTGGGAGACAAAAATTCTGAGTTGTAAGCTTGGAAATTTAGCCAAGGGAATTTCTATGCAAAGGGTTGAAGGTTTAACCTGGTTTCATTTTATCTCATGTCTCACTTTCTATTGATTTGATGAAAAACCAGGACCAAAAGCAACCTGGGGAGGAAAGGGTTTATTTCAGCTTATAGTTCCACAGCATGGTCCATCAGTGAAGGAAGTCAGAGCAAGATCTCAAGGCAGGAACTTGGAGGCAGGAGCTGAAGCAGAGGCTATGGAAGAATGCTGCTTTTTGGCTTGCTCCTCACAGCTTGCTCAGCCTGCTCCCTTACACATCCCAGGACTACCTGCCCAGACTTGGCCCTGCCCATGGTGGGCTGGTCCCTTTCACATCAATGATCAATCAAGGAAACGGTCCACAGGATTACCCACAAGCTAATCTGAGGTTCCTCTTTCCAGACAACTCTAGCTTGTGTCAAGCTGACAAAACAAAATGAAACAAAACAAAACAACAAAAAAACCTGTCCATCATACCACATATAATGAATGCAAGAGCATAAAGCTAAGTTGAAGAAGGAATTGTTAAAAGAGAAGCCAGAATGTGAAGATTAGAAAATGCTAAGCTATTCACACTGCACTATGGGAATGTACAGCCTTTGCCTTATAGGGTGGTTCTCAGGATTCGTTGTGTTGGTCACATACACTATACAAAGCTGTACATTGTAAGCTGTTGTACCGAGAGAAAATGCTCTAGGTTCATTGTATAGATACTTTTGTGCCTTTTTCACGAAATCAGGGAGGACATATATTTCAGCATTATTTTTTTGTTATCAGGATATTTGAGATTTAGAGAGATAAAGTGACTCATATATTCTTTTCACAGAAGATGTCCCTGTATAGTCTAGGCAGTCCTCAGACTCATATCTGCCTCCCAATGCTTGAGATTGCAGCCATGTACCTCCACACCTCGGTGGACATGATCCATACAGCAATATTATAAGGCTGCTGGACTTGAAAGAAGCTTAGATCTTTAGACTTAGTCTGGTGCTCTCTCCAGCATAATATTATCCCATCTCAAAGGCTTCTCTAGACTCTCAGCAAGTCTAACTAACAAACATTTAATAGCAGTTAGAACCAGTAAGGAATACAAAACACACAGAAGACAATTTGTCCCTATATTATCTAGATAGCAAAAAATAAACACAAGTCTCAGCCAACAAAGTACATGGCAGTCATGGGATAATAGCATTCCTGCTCTCCATTGTATTTTCTCTTTAAAAATGTTTGTTTTTATTTTGTATGTATGTATGCATTTAGTGTGTGTGTGTGTGTGCCAACTGAGTGCAGAGGCCAAGAGAGGGTATCAGATCTCTGGGAACTGGGGTTATTAACAACAATAATAAATGGGAATGGAAAGGGAGAATTGAAGAAACTTTGCTGGGCATAAACACTTCCTCCTAAGCATCTATATGCATCACAGCAACTGTCATCTTCCTGGAGGGAATGCTTCTGTAAACCTCTTTGCTTTCTGATGAACTGCTAAAGAAAAGACAGACACAGGGTCCTCATCCCGCAGTCCTCAAACGCTGGTTAACGCAATCACTCTCGTCTGTGACTAAGGGAGCCTAATGGTGAAGTGCTTTGTAAAGTGCAGACTTTTTCTCATTTGAAGATTCTGCCATTTTCTTCTGATATTCAAATTAGAATTTCCGTGCAGCTGATTGTCTCTGGAGTCTAAGGTGTAAGATCAACTCGCAGTCACCGAAGCAAAATGAGAATACCGAGCAGGGCTTCCGTGAGAGTGAATCTGTTGTCTTTCAGCATGTCCCATCGCTACTCATGATACAACTTTCCTAAAAGAAAGGCCATTGTGACTGTGTTTGGCTATGCCATCACACAGCATGTCGTATGTACATTTCACATGGCCTCTAGTTCTGGTGAAAGAGAAATGACTTCCCTCAAACAAAGCTGAGTCATACTTTTAAAAAAATCAATTTTATTTTGCTATTAGTTGATTCCTAAGGTAAATCAGCTAAGAATTTACTTCACTCTCTTCCATTGTCCTTTCCTTTTTTCTCCCTTTGAATTACTTTTGATGTTCTTACTAATTTTTACTTATTCATTTTTATCCATGATACATGTCTTCTGGAAATTACTTTTGATATTCTTATTAATTTTTACTTATTCATTTTTATCCATGATATATGTCTTCTGGGAAGTGTGGTGTGTGTGTGTGTGTGTGTGTGTGTGTGTGTGTGTGTGTGTGTGTGTGTGTGAGAGAGAGAGAGAGAGAGAGAGAGAGAGAGAGAGAGAGAGAGAGAGAGAGAGAGAGAGAGAGAAAACATAAAGAAGTTATACAGGTTCCCCAACATACAGCTCATCCATTGTACCCTTTCTACAATGTACCCCTAATGTGTAGCCTTTCTTCCTTTCTCCAACAGTTAGTTGATCACTAGATAAAATGATGAGCCCCTCTCCCAGCCTCAGTACCCAGTAACCACAAAGGAACTGTTCTCAAGGTTCTGTGAGCCTCAAGATTCACCAGTTAGTTCAACTGTGGTCTGGAGCTGTGCGGTGCATTCCTGCCACCTAGAGGTGGTGTATTGAAATACAGATGGCAGATCAAGCCAAATACCAAGCAACAACTAAGCCCAACCTGTCCTAAGACCAGCTGTGTTGAGCTGAGCAGTTAGATGAGTATTAAATGATGTATTTCAAATGTGTATTTCTTTCTTCTCGATACCCAGGTCCCCATTATAAGAGTGGGTTGTCTTCAAGTGTTATTGCGATGAAAAAGTTCAATTTGGCAGCTCTCAAAGTGAGAAGGCGAAGGAGAAAGAGCCGCAGTGATAACGCTTTGGAAATGAGCCTTCATAATCACGCTTAACCATGTGGCAGTTGAGGGAGCTGAAGATTGAGGCAGTGACAGATGTTCAACTTCCATCACTAGTGAGTGCTGTTGGCAAGGTTGGACACAGGACTCATTACTTCTCTTCCTGACAAGAGCAACTTGATGGGGAGGGGTTAATTTGAGCTCAAAGTCCATCACGGCAGAGAAGCCATGGCAGCTGCAGAGTGAGGCAGCTAGCTGGTCATGCTGCATCTGCAATCAGGAATCAATCGGAGAGTGGCGAATGCTGACGCCCGGCTCACTTTTGCCTTATTCTGTCTGAGGCCCTGGTTCATGGGACGGTACAGTCCATACTTACAGGGAGTCTTCCCACCTCAATTAACCAAATGCAGACTTTCCCTCACAAATAGGCCCAGGGATTTGTTGACAATCAATATTAGCCTTCACTTTTTTCAGCTGTCAACCTAGAGGAGGGTCCTGGAAAGGGTAAATCACTGTGATAGTCCACGCAAAGGCTGCTGCTGATAAGACTTGGGACATTTAAAAAAAAATCTGTTTGATACACACACATATACACACACACACACACAAATATATATATATATATATATATATCTTTGACTGGCCTAGAAATCACCCTGTAACCAGACTAATCTCAAACCTGAAGTGGATCCTCCTTTTTTTTTTTTTTTTTTTGTCTCTCTAGTTTTAAGCCACCAATCACCTCAGGGTTCAATCTGGAGGATTTGGAGCTAAGTTCCCAGGAACAGTGCTGGCTATCTTCTCATTCATTCATACTCTCTTCTCCAAACAGCACATGCTTGTCAGATGGTGGCTGAAACCAGAGGGAGAGATCTATGACAGGGACACACAGAGACACTGACCTATAAGGAACAAGCCACCCAAACACACAGTTCGACTGCAGCCTCACTAACAACTGTTTCTCACCCTGTGAGATGGGAGGGAGCTAATCTCATGAAGTAGAAATGAACCCAGGACATAGGGAAGGAAGGAGCCATCCCTGTGGTCTTCTTTGCTTCTTAGACCCTAGGGGGAAATCTATAGATTTGTTCCTAGAACAATGCTTTCAAATGCATAAAAGGATACAGGATTATAAAGGAAAGCGATTATATGCAAATAAAGTTAGCAAATTCTTTAAAAATATATCATACATTGTCTTAGGGTTTCTATTACTATGAAGAGGCACCATGACCCCAGCAATTCTTACAAAGGAAAACATTTAATTGAGATAACTTACAGTTCAGAGGTTTTGTCCATTCTCATCATGGCAGAGAGCACGGAGGTATGCAGGCAGACACGGTGCTACATCTTGATCAGAGGGCAACAGGACATGGTCTCAGACACTGAGCCATATCTTGAGCATAGGAAACCTCAAAGCCCACGCCCACAGTGACACACTTCCTCCGACAAGGCCACATCTCCTAATAGTGCTACTCCCTATGAGCTTCTGGGGGCCAATTACATTTCAACTACCACGTATATTGTATGTGTATTTAGTCCTGGCTAAAAACAAAATCCACAGACTTGGTGGTGAGTATGCAACAATAATTTCTCACAGTTCTGGAGGCTGAGGGCTAAGGTCAAGTGCTAGCAAATTCCTTTCTTGTGGAGAGGCCCTTTCTGCCTCAGAGGGCTTCCTCCCACCCAACCCCACCCCTCCCTGACAAACAGGGCAGCTGGGAATTTCTCCCTCCTTACCCAGCCTCTAATCTCACCACAGAGGTGCACCCTCTTGATTTTATCTAAGTCCAATCACCTCTCAAAGGCACGGGGTTGGGGGAGGGGCAGGGGTTGCATTTCAACAGAGGAGCCTGGTGTGATGGCAGGGTGGTGACACAAATTTCAGCCAATAACAATGTGTTCTAGTTTCTGAATGTCCTGTCCTCGGACCTCGATTTAGTGAATCTCTGTCTTAGGGACTCTCAGAAAATTCCCTAGTTTATAGTCACCGAACTAAATCCTTGAAGAATTCCTTAGAATGTGCCCAGAGAAAGAGACCTGACTGTATAAGCAGGAGTTCTGCAAAGCCACCCAGAGTCTCAGGTTGGTTTTTCCAGCCTCCTCTCGAGTTTGGAGTGGGGGACATGGGTTAGCTCTGGATCTGCTCTGAGCTCTGTGCCCCTTTCTCACCCTGCGACCTTGGGGGAAAGAGTGAAGACAAGCATTACGGGCGGGCAGGCGGGTGGGCGGGCGGGCGGGCGGGTGGGCAGGCGGGTGGGCAGGCGGGTGGGCAGGCGGGCGGGCAGGCGGGTGCAGGCGGGTGGGCAGGTGGGCGGGCGGGCGGGCGGGCGGGCGGGCGGGCAGGCGAGCCAGCTCCTTGGCCACAAGCTGCTGATCCATCCCACAGGGAGCCCAGTTTTCCTTTCTTGGATTCCTGCATATAATCATAAGCCCAATGATCTATGTATTGTAGCGAAGCAATGGATTTCTCCTGTAAGCCAAAGGAGTCCTTCCATAAGCAGAGTTAAAAACTAAAATGAAAGGGAGAGGGATGTAGTTGGAAGGTTGTCAAATCTTATTAGGGATATCTTAGTAAATGGGGAACACATATTCTTGAACATTTCCAGTGTCTAAGCTAAGGGCTGAGGCTTCAAAATATCCCTTCACCTTGTTAAGGAAACCCAGTCAGCAATTTTGGAGGGAATATTTTAATGCTGCTCCTTTGGGCCTGTGTGTAATCACAGCATCCAGGAGATGTTTTAATTATACATTCTAATCATAAAATAAAATGTCCCAGGTCGCTTTGTTTAGATGCTTTCCTGCCTCTTAGTTAATAGTGTTATTGGCATGTATTCAACATGTAAGGATTTGGGCTCATGGAAGACCACTCATACACATAGGCTTGGTGTCCACTGGGGATGGATGTCTAGGAGCTTTTATGCAGCAGGCTGTGATACTGATGGACACTGAGGTGAGAGCCAACAGGAGGAAGGCAGCCTCCTTCTGCTGCAAGCCAGCTCAGAAAGCTGTCCCACTTTCTTTGACCCTCTAAAGCCAGGCCTAGATGGAATGAGGTGGGGCTGTAAGGCAAGACTTGCAGTAGTCCGCAGGTGGTGATGGGAGGGGAGAGCACCTGTTTTATTTCCTGGGTGTAGTGTTTTCGGGCAGTTATGTTTTGAGTACACTAGGTACATGGAGTACCAGTGGAAACCAGAAGAGGGTGCTGGATTCCATCGAACTGGTGTTACAGACAGTTATGAGCCACCAAGTAGGTGCTGGGACCTGAACTCTAGTCCTCAGAAAGAGCAAGTGCTCTAACTTCTGAGCCGTCTCTACAGACCCTCATTTAGAATTTCTTTTAAATACTTTAAATTTTTTCTTTTATGGAAAATAGATAACTTTTCTTATATATCGTGATTACAGTTTCCCCTCCCTCTACTCCTCCCTACCCCCCTTCCCCTCTGGATCCACTTCCTTTCCATCTCTCATAGAAAAAGAATAGTCTTCTAAGAGGTAACAACCAAACATGACAAAATAAAATGTAATGAGATGAAGCAAAAACTATCATATTGAAGGTGGACGCTATAACCCAACAGGAGGAAAAGAGTCCCAAGAGCAGGCATGTGAGTCAGAGACCCATTCCTTCACACACTCAGCAGTTCCATAAAAATACTAAGCTAATAGCTATAATAGATACACAGAAGGCCTGGTGCAGACCCGTGTAGGCCCTGTGCTTGCTGCTTTGGTCTCTGTGAACTCATATGTGCCTGGCTCAGTTGATTCAGAGGGCCTTGCTCTCCTGGTGTCCTCCATTCCCTCTGGCTCTTACTCTTTCTACCTCCTCTTCCTCAGGATTCCCTGAGCTCTGAGGGGAGGGATTTGATGGAAACCTCCAATTTAGACTCTCTCTCCTCATAATGTCTGGTTGTGGGTCTCTGCATCTGCTTCTATCATAGGAAGCCTCTTTGGTGATGACTGAACTAGGCACTGATCTATGAGTATAGCAGAACATCATTAGGAATCATTTCATTGATTTTTTTTTTTTGACCAGTAGTGTCTGATTTACCCTAGGTTTCTGGGCTCTCTAGTCTCTAGTTCTTGGTTACCCAAGCAGTGTCAAGTGTGTGTTGCTTCTAGTGGAGTGGGCCTTAAGTCAAATCAGACATTGGCTGCTCCCTCAAGTTCTGGGTTATTATTACCCTAGCAGATTGTAGGTCAAGGTTTTGTGGCTGGGTTGGTGTCTACGCTTCTTTTTCTGTAGCCTGCAGAGTACCTTCCTGTACCAAAGAGCCTAGAACATAGGTGTGAAGGCTCCATGTAGGCACCGGCTTGACGTCTCATGTTCAGTGAGTTGTGTGTGGGTCATCTTTGGCAATGGGGTCCCACTGTCAGCTTGAAGACAGCAACCTTTTGTCTTAGGAACAACTTGGGTTGTTTGGGGATTTCCATGGGACTCCTTGGACAACAACTCAATTGAATTCAATCCTGTCCCACCACTGGAAGCTTTGCCTGCCTACAGGAGATACCCAGATGAAACTCTGTATTCCTCATTATTAGGAGTCCTCCTTAGGATCACCTTCATAGATTCCAAGAAGTTTTCACTGCACTAGGTTTCCATACCATCCCTCAAGTGGCCCCCAATTCCAGCTGTCTCTCCCTGCACTCTCTCCCTCCACCCCATGCCCCGCAACCTTAGCCCTCTACTCCTGTCCCTACCTGCCCCCAGTCTGCCCATAAGATCTATTCTATTTCCCCTTCCCAGGTAGATCCCTACGTTCCCTCCCTAGACCTCTCCTCTTTATCTAACTTCTCTGGATCTACTGATTGTAGCTTGGCTATCACCGACTTAATGGCTAATATCCTCTTTTAAGCAAATACATCCCATATTTATCTTTCTGGGTCTGGGTTACCTCACTTAGGATAATTTTTTTCTAGTTCCACCCATTTGCCTGCAAGTTTCATGATGTCATTTTTTTAAACAGCTAAGTAATATTCCATTGTGTAAATGTACCACATTTTCTTTATCCATTCTTCAGTTGAGGGACATCTAAGTTGTTTCCAGTTTCTGGCTATTATGAATAAAGCACAATGAATATGGTTGAGCTAGTGTTTTTGTGGTAGGATGGAGTGTCCTTTGGGTATATGCCCAACAGTAGTATAGTTGGGTCTTGAGGAAGATTGATTCCCAACTTTTTGAGGAACAGCCACACTGATTTCCATAGTGGCTGTACAAGTTTGTACTCCCAGCAGCAATGGGGGTACAGGATAGAAGGTATATTCTTTTGTGTCTGGGTGAAATGTTCTGTAAGTATCTGTAAGGTCCATTTGGTTTATAACAGCTGCTAGCTTCAGTATTTCTCTGTTTAGTTTTTGTCTGAATGGCCTGTTCATTGGTGAGAGTGGGGTATTGAAGTCTCCCACTATCAGTGTGTGAGGGTCAATATGTGATTTAAGCTGTAGTAATGTTAACAAACTTGGGCATCCTTGTGTTTGAGGTAGAGATGCTAAGAATTGAGATGTCATCTTGGTGGCTTTTTCCTTTGGTGAGTATGTAGTGTCCTTCCCTACCTCTTTGGGTTAATTTTGGTTTGAAGTCTATTTTGTTAGATATTAAAATGGCTATACCAGCTTGTTTCTTAAGTCCATTTGCTTGGAATATCTTTTTCTAATCCTTTACTCTGAGATAATGTCGTGTGTTTCTTGGATTGAACCCATTGAATCCACTGATATTGAGAGATATCAATCACCAATGATCATTGATTCCTCTTATTTTGTTGTTGTTGTGGTGGTGGTGGTGGTGGTAGTGGTGTGTGTATGTATGTGTGTGTGTGTGTGTGTGTGTGTGTGTGTGTGTGTGTGTGTGTGTGTGTGTGTGTTTCCCTTATTTTGATTTTGCTGTTGTGAGATTATTTCTTGTGTTTTCATGTTTGAATTTAACTTCTTTAGGTTGGAGTTTTTCTTCTAGCACCTTCTGTAGGACTGGATTTGTAGATAGATATTGTTTAAATTCAACTTTATCATGGAATATCTTAATTCCTCCATCTATGGTCATTGAAAATTTTGCTGGGCATAGTAGTCTGGGCTGGCATCTGTGGTCTCTTAGTGTCTGCAACACACCTGTCAGGTCCTTCTGGCTTTCAGAGTCTCCATTGAGAAGTCAGGTGTTATTCTAATAGGTCTGCCTTTATGTGTTACTTGATCTTTTTCCCTTGCGGCTTTTAATATTCTTTCTTTGTTCTGTATGTTTAGTGTCTTGATTATTATGTTACTTTTACTATGACTGTTATATGGGAATTTCTTTTCTGGTCCAGTCTATTTGGTGTACTATGTACTTCTTGTACCTTGGCAGACGCCTCCTTCTTTAGGTTGGGAAAATTTTCTTCTAAGGTTTTGCTGAAAATG